ATTCTTCTGCCTCAGCTTCCCGAGTAGCTGTGACTATAGGCACGTGCCACCACACCCAGCTAATTTTTGTATTTTTAGTAGAGACAGGGTTTCACCACGTTGGTCAGGATGGTCTCCATCTACCTACCTCATGATTCGTCCACCTCGGCCTCCCGAAGTGCTGGGATTACAGGTAATTTTTTTTTTTATAAAATGGAATTTAAACCTGTAATGTCTTTTTGAGGAATCAAAAGTGGTCAATGTGATAAATATGATACATAGACACATAATATATATTTTTTCCAGTTTTAAGAAGTTTTGTTAAGAAGGTGTTAAAAATATTTTAAATGTAACAAGTTTAAAGATAATAAAAGCCCCAATTATTCTAGTTATTTGAGATTACTCTTTAGTCAAACAAAAACATCTATATTATAAATCTTGTAAAACAACTTGAGTATCAAAGTACTTTCAGTATGCATTAATTTAATAAGTTTCAAAGTCAGAATTCTAGTCCAACTGAAACATTTGTAGTCACATATCAGGCTTTTCATAGCTTTACACTATTAAAAAACATTTTAAAAGTTAAATCAACCTAATATGTCCAAAATTTCAACCAGTATCTATTTACAAAGATTTACTTAAAACTAATTTTCATCAAATAAATTGTGTTTTTTGTTTGTTTTTTGAGATGGAGTTTCGCTCTTTGTTACCCAAGCTGGAGTGCAGTGGCGCCATCTCAGCTAACTGGAACCTCTGCCTCCCGGATTCAAGCGATTCTCCTGCCTCCGCCTGCCAAGTAGCTGGAATTACAGGCACCCGCCACCATGTCTAGCTAATTTTTGTATTTTTAGTACAGACAGGGTATTACCATGCTGGCCAGGCTGGTCACAAACTCCTGACCTCAGGTGATCCACCTGGCTTGGCCTCCCAGAATGCTGGGATTACAGGCGTGAGCCACCGTGCCCAGACAAATAAATTGTGTTTTAAATAAAGTTAACATAAATTGACTAGAGTATAATGTGTAAATTATTATACACATTAATCAAAACTAATATCCATGCATGCTGAATCTCTTAAAATAGTCACTTTATCACCTAATGCTTTTCATATATATTCGACTGCATTTTGTGATTTTTACTCCCCAATTTTTTTCATGCCTATATAACTTACACCTTTACAATTGGACAGTTAAACTTCAGATAAAAAACTGGTAACATTTTCTTTTTTTAAAAGTATTTTGACTGTGTATCCATTTATTAATATTTACCAAACTTATAACTGAAAACTTTTATTAAATAGCTAACATTAGTGGTTTACTCTGCATTTTATAAAGGAGAACGTAAGTGTTTGTTAAGTTGAAGATGACTGTGCACACCTTACATTTTGACATTTCAAGATATTCAATCATTCACATGTCCATTAAGTACTTACTGTATGTCCAGCACTCCTCTAGGTGTTGCACAATTTAACATGTTTCAATATTTCAACAATATGATATTTTGATACCTTTTATGCTGTGTGAAACTTTTATATGCTTTTTAGATTATTCAGTCCTTTATAATTTAAATATTTCCTCCTTCTCAAAAGTAGCTGTTACTGTTTATAAAAGAGGCACCTGTTTTTCCTTTAAATTATATACATATTTTATTTTTTGAAGTTAATGAATAAATTCACTGTTATTTCCCAACTCTCCCAACCTGCGATCCTTCTCCCAACCTCTGGCACTTGAACAACAAAGATTAAGGTAATAGGAACCCACAAAGTTTTTCTTTAAAAAAAAAAAAAAAAATCCAGTATGGAAAAAAATCTTCTATCAGAATGGATTGAGTCGTATTCCAGTCCCTAAAGGTGAGAATGGATTCACCTTTGCCCACATCAAAGCGTCATTCAAGGAGATAGCAGATTTCCCGTCTTCAAGGAAAAACACAGGGCCCTGTGCAGTGAGAGTTGAGGAAAGTGAAGATGAGATTATACATTTGCGAAGTATTTTTAAACTTTCAGAAAGAGAATCACTGCAATAAAAAACATGATATTTAGGCAATGCTAATAAAAATTTAAGAATATGAGAAAATTAGTTTTTTTGAGTTGGACCCAAAAATAGAAACATTTTCAAATGTCTTAACATTACATCATTATACCCTAATATCTGTCAAAATAGAATTGTTTTCAATTTAAATTCTTTAAATACAGTAGTGCTGCCAATGACAAATACGTTTTGTTAATCTGGTAACTGCCACAAAGTTTACTTATTCCATAAAAGCATACATGCCTAATAATAGACTTAAATATATTTCACTATTTTACTCATGTAGCCTAGGTCAATACATCTGGGGAAATTATTTAAGCCAGAAACTTTAAATGTGCTCTCCAGAAGATGAAGAATATTGTTCTATATTGTATATATAGTTTAAAATATGTTTAGTCATGTGATTTTCTTGCTTATTTATAATTTAGTTGCATCAGTTATGATATATGCCAAGGTAGTTATGAAGAACCAAATGCGAAGCATTTTCAATCTATATTACCTAGCTCTGATAAGGAAAAGCATATTTCAAAAACACAAGATGCAATACATATTATGTTTTCTTAATTAGGTTCTAAAGTTGTTGAGTTTTGGGTCTGATTTCAAATAATACAAGTTGTAGCAAATTATTTCTAGATAATGGAAAGCTCATCATAGGAGTATGTAAAGTAGACAGCTTCCTATTAGTAGGCACTAGAAATTTCACAATTATAACCCAAACACATCAACTTTCTGATGAAATAGAAATATCCTGGCAGGACAGTACTCCATCTATACCAGTCATGTGGGCCTCAGTGTACATGAGATAATTAGTAGCTCTTTTCCTGGATGTAGGCTTGGCTACAGAGAGCTTAGATAGTACCTTTTAGGTCAAGGTCAGATGGAGAAAAGAAACCTTAAGAAAAGGAGGAAAGAAACACGAAGGTACCAAGTACTAGAAATGGTACACAAAGCGCAGAGAATGGCACTGATGACATACTCCAAAGATTTCATAATGTTTCTTGCTCTTTACTAAAAGTTATTTAATTTCCTGATTTGGTTCTTTATTTCTGAACGTAAATGGATAATAAAGGTGTATACAACTATGTGTCCTATGTTTTGGAAGATACTGGTTATGTTTTGAGACTAAACTAGCTTGCAGTGGCAAGCTAAGCTACAGTTAGGATTTATATCAGTATCCAGCTGCTTCATTTATCTTGGGTCGCTATGGCAAAACCTGCCTTCTTCATTGGCCTAGCATGAAATGTGACTTTTCACATGATTAGAAATACATAAGAATCTGCTCAATAAGTTGTGTATATTATTGGGAGGTGGGGATCTTTTAGTCTAATCTGTAGTCTCAATTTGTATTTCAGGGGATTTGGCTTTGTTTAGTTCATGGGGACACCTACAACTAGTCCTGGCTCTAAGACAATAAAGATTTCTCTATTTCTTAGAGATAATGGCACCTCTGGGTCATATTGGGAGGCTCTGGTATCATTCATCATCATTAGTTTGACTGTACATTAGGGACCAATCCTTGGCAATTAGACATCCCTCACGATTGATCCCAGTAATTTTTAATTGCTGAAAAGGTCCGTAACTTGATGTAAGAACATGCACAATATATTAATGATATAATATACATCTCTCAGTTTTTAATTGCTTTGCTTTTATACATCATAGATGGTGACTAGAAAGTGAATGTAATCTACTGTGACATAATCATCTGTTGTTGACTGTTGCTTTGTCTCCCTTATTTAATTCCCGTCAGGATATGACCTGTATATATTTTCAAACATAGTTCTTACAAAGTATACATATCATCTGTTACTAAGTATACATATTACATGAATTGCTTCTGTGGTAAGAAGTCAGCACAATTACTGTATATGAATTTATTTTAAGCTGAAAGAGGCCACTTGCACTAACTATGGAAGCACTAGAGGCAATTTTTCTTATTGGGCCCCAGTCCTAAATTACCTACTTTTACCCAAATTAGGCTTATTTTAAGATATCATTTCAAAAAGTAAACATATAAAAATGGTGAAATGCACGTTATGTCTGACATTAGGCTTTACCTGGATTTTTAATCCCGTAAGACAAGAAATGTGAATATCAGAATGACTTGGAAGATTTGATCCAGTCACATAATCTGGTCCAATAATTCCTTTCAGTGACTCTTCTTTTAGTCTCTTTAATAAAGTTGCATAAACCATTCTTTGTGAATCAGAAGGGGGTGTATACGGAGAGTCTTCGAATGATCTATATTTTCAACAGATGTCAACATTTCATTTTGTTGAATCACAGAATTTTTGATGTTTAGATTAGAAATTATCCCTGATGATTATTTAGTTCCCCTTTATTGACGGAGGCAAATCACCTTTAGACTTAATTTATAGTAAAACAAAGGACTAAATGGCAGAAAAGTATGGCACTGTAAATTATTACTGCATATATGCCAAACAAATCAAGATTCTGCTAAATTCTGCTAAAATTAATGAGACAACACATACTTCCAACAAGTTTGTCTATAATGTCAAATACCTTCTGCCTTCCAATTTTTATATCACATTTACTCACCTGCTGGTGGACTGTGTGCAAGCTCTCCATGCATCCAGTTCCTCAGAAAGATATTCAATTTTTAAAGGTACTGACACCTCCCGACGTTTTAATAGCTGACTGAATGTGTGAAAAGGAAATTAACATCTGATACCAAAAACTAAGATATCAGAAAAAGCAAACAAACTTTAAATGTGATTTTAGATTTACGTTTCTGTATACAGACATTATACCTTATATATAATGTACATATAGAATATTTTTTAGTATATGTGTATATATGCTCATCTGTATATTTAATATATTTAGCAGAGTCCCTGGCAAGTCGAAGTTATTCAGTAAACATTGGGTGGATGAGTAACTGAGTGAGCGGATGAATAAATGAACTGCATAATGTATGGAGAATGGTTGGACAAGTCAAGTGATGTTAAATAGTAGCCACCGTGAGAGAGAACACTTAACCGTGACCCTGATGATTTAATCTTGAATGACACAAAGAGAACACAGGAGAAGGAGATTTGAGAAGAAACATGATTTGAATTCTGAGCATACTGACTTTTAGGCTGGAGTTTAGCAAGCTGCTGAATATACACATAGGAGTTTGAAGAGTAGGCTATGCCTGAGTATAAGACACTGAGTTACCTCCTCAGAGGTGATAGGTGAAGCTAAAAAGTGGTGAGGTTTCTGAAGGACACCGTATAGCAAGGAGAGGGGAGGCAGTGGAGCTGTGGGAGGAGAGTGGGATGGAGAGGAGGAAAAAGGGAAGCAGAGGAGGAGAGAATGAAACTTTGGGGGCTCACATATTTAGTGGGTCAGGAAAATAATGATAAGCAGCAAGACAACAAAGATGAAATTGTCAGAGACGATAAATTCTTTAATATTAGGAAATTATTTCTCTTTTTAAGCTAACACATTCCCTAAACTTAGTCACATTCTCTCAAGTCTCTCCTGCCCCTGCAGATAAAAACCATTCTTTTTCTTCTTGCTTAATTAAGAATTTTTCTCTTTACTTTTATAATTATATATAGCTGAACATACTTCATTAAACATTAGTTTACATCTATGTGATATATCCTACTGCTCCCATAATATCTTTCAATGTTGTTAAATGTTGCTTTCCAATTTTGGTTATGCTACCTATATAGAAAGAGATTTTTCCATGAGCATGCTGACAATATTAATTCCGTATTATTCCTTATTTGCACTAGGTGACAGCTAGTGCTTCACCTACACAGTAGGGAAAATAAGTTAGGAATGAGAAAACCTGTTTCTCTCAGACTTCGGCCACATATGAACTTAGAAAAACTGCTTAACCACAGACCCTCTGCATTTGTTAAAATGGTCACCTACTAAGCCATTTAGCTAACTACTAGACTTGGAAGTAGGTTTTCATGGAAGGCACTGTGAATTTTATTTTATAGTATAAGAAGTTTTAAGTACAAGGGCTGAAGTTAAACAAGTTGTTAGAAAATGTAGGAGTAAGGCTAACAGGTTATGCCTGAATATAAAATATTAAAATAGTAAGTAACCTGCTACTTACAAACTCCTTTTACTTTGCCTTTTCTGCTGTAGAGGTTGAAAAGCTACAATATTCAGTTTCCTATTTTCTTTTAGTGAGATGTGGGCATAAAACCCTAAGGAGGACCTTCTTCCCTGAATAAAATGGTCTTGCCAGGAGAAAGTCCTTTGTGGTCTCTATCTTTCACTCTTACCTCTTTCCTGCTTAGAATGTAGTCGTAATTCATGGAGGGCTAGTATCTATCTTGTAACCATGGGATACTCAAGCAAGAGGAAATAATCCAAAAATATCACAGTGGAAAGAAGGGGAGTATCAGGTCCTTGAAGAAATCACTGCAAGGCAGTGAAAGCCCTAGAATGCCTGTCTTAAGTGTCTTGACGTGAAACATCAATAAACCCTAGGAGTTTAAGCTAGTATTAGAATTTTTATTATTTATAGCCTAACACATCTCTAATTTATGTGCTGCTTTATTATAAAGCACATGCGGAGTAAACAGATGGATACTTGTAATAATATATTTGATACTTTCTATAATCCACTTAGAGATTATCCATCTTAGTGAAAGAAACTGCTCTAATGTCACGATGGAAGAAAAAACCTTTTTTACCTTGTGTACTCATAAAGTGCTGGAACAATGCTTTGGTACTGTCTTCTGATAGCCAGTAATGCACCAGTGTAACCACACAATATTAGCAACTCATTTCGAGCTCTAAAAGAGAATATACTTATTTTTATAAACTCCACAATTTGAGGCATAGAACATTACTCTGACACACAGTTCATGCACTTGTATCTCTATATTCTGAAAGGTGACATTTATAGCAATATGTGTTTAGAAAATTTTCTAAACTTAAGGAAAATTATCCATCAGTTCCTAATTCCTATTCAGATATTTATACTGTATCATCAATTATAATATAAAATAAGAATCTTTAAATAATATTTCACTCTTGCCTGCTTGTTTTTCTCTATTTCCTGGCTGTTTCTTCATGTAATTTATCCCTAAATAACTCCTTTGGTCAGGTGGAGGGAGTCCCGGAACACCGTGTCGACTCTAGGAGAGGGTAAAGAATGGCTTCTGCAGTTCTTACACAGGGAGTTAACCAGTTTCCCAGGCTTCTGCATCATTTTTTCCATACAGGCTTTAAAGCAAGTAGAGCCCAAAGTTTCTCTTGTAAATTATACAAGAGCCTCTGACGGCTTTAGTTATATAGATAACAATGTCTTTTAATAGGACTCGAATCCAGGGATGATGTCTATTTTGCACTTTCTAGCCTTTTACTTCTTTCCCACAAGCTTAGTATGATGCTTTGCATACAATGGATATTTAATAAATATGACCATGAGTTTCTTATGGACTTGAGGTCCAAAAGCTTTGAACTTGCTTTCTTTAAACCAGGTATGTGTGTGTAGATATAAAAACATATGCATACCAGATATTAAGTGGACCACTAAAATTTAATATTCTATTTCAAGTCGACCGCTACCTTTTTTTCTTAAAAATATAACAAACACAAATACAATCTTTCTACAAGTGTAGCTACCTGTCCAAGATAATCCTATTTCCTGATCTGAATACCAAAAACAATGGAGCCACTTTAAAATTATCACATAGATTCACTTATATATTTTGCAGAAAAAAATACTCACTCAGTACATGTATGCAAGAGCAATTTTTCAGTACGAATATAGCTCAATAGGTCAAGAACAGGGTATATGGCATCCAAAGTCCAGTCTGAACTACTGATGTATTCTGGAAAAATAAAACCAGATGAGAGATTCATTAAATAACAGTCTCAAAATTTATTCATCCATTTTTTAACTTATATGATGAATTTTCTGTGAGTCAGTACTACCTACCTCTTTGTTTTCTAGATCACAAGTATTTTCCTATTCATCCTCTCTCAGGTCCCCATACCATAAAATTGGAAGAGATGCCATATTTCACATCAGCATCACTCTCCTTTTTAAATTGAGGATGACTAGTTCTTGGTTTTAAGGCTGATCACTGATATAGTTAGGATGCTGGTCCTCTCTAGAGCTCATGTTGAAATGTAATCCCCAATGCTGGAGTGGGGAGGTGTTTGGATTAAGGAGGTGGATTCCTCATGAATGGCTTAGTGCAATCCCCTTGGTGATGAGTGAATTCTTGTTCTGAGTCCACAAGAGATCTGATTGTTTAAGAGTGTGGCACCTCCCTTCCTCTCTCTCTTCATCCCTTCTCTCTACCCCTGCTCTCACTAAGTGATATGCCTGCTCCTGTATCACCTTCTGCCGCGATGAAAAGCTTCCTGAGGCCTCACAGAAGCTGAGCAGATACCAGTGCCATGCTTCCGGTACAGCCTGCAGGACTATGAGCCAGTAAATCTACTTCCTTTATAAATTACCCAGCCTCAGGTACTTCTTTATAGCAATGCAAAAATGAATTAAAACGATCATCAATATGAAAACAAAGATCAAATAAATGACTATATTTTAAATTATACTACCAACTAATTACTTACCTTTAACAAAGCTAATACCAATAGGAAGGGCTTTTTCAGGTTCTTGACTTAACAAGTAATATTTTACAGTTTCAAATATATTGTCATCTGCATGGGCTGTCTCAGCTAACTGCATACATTCTTCCACTGTGGGTAGCTTACACTAGAAAATAATTGGTTTGAAAACAATGTTACTAAAATTCACAGGGATAAAGGCAATAGTGTAGGTACAAAATACTTTCAACTTTCCTAGTATGGTTTTCTTATTAAAGTTGTCTAAAATAGATGTAAATGAAATCATTTGAATTAAGAGAATATATTTATAGAAATACCTTTAAGATCTAAAAACAGTAAGCGGGGATATTAGCTAATGAGTTAGTAGTTTTCCATCACACAAATACTTAAAAAAGAAATAGGAGTAAACTGTTCTGATTGTGATACTGAAATTAATACCTACAAATGCAATTTAGCACCCAAATGATGAAATTAATTATGTTAGAAAAAATACATTGACCATTGTCAAAAACTACATTAAATGCACCAAACATAAAGGGTGTGCATTATTACATAACCTCTACACTGTAATTTAACGTCACTTGGCTTTTGAAACAAAGCAACCTTATTTCAGAGACACAAAAAAATGTAGAAGCTCTAAAAGTTTTTAGCTTTGACATTTTGAAATGCCATGAAATGGATATTTTTTCATCCATGAAATTTCATTACTATAAAATAAAAGGCCACATTCCCCATTTAAAAAAATTCTTTTCCTGTTAAAACTGACAGTCTGATCCTTTCTCAAGTAAGTTGGTCTGCTTCCTTATAATGTAGGTAAGCATTAAGTTACCTTTTATATCCAATTCTGATGTGTTTATAATAGATGAAGCTGAAATGTTCAAGTTTACATCTAAACAATGTGGATAGTTTCATGGTTTGTTTCAATTTATTTATTAATACATTCATTCAATCATTTCATATTTCTTGTTTAAAAATTAGGTAAAATGAACATTTTACATCTCAATCTCTCAAAAAAATTACAACAAACTGAATTAACGGGGCTCTCATATATTTAATATTTCATATGGTTTCCCCATCCTTATTCATGAAATGCCAGTTATTTACTAAGCAACTACTATATGGTAAGTACTGTGCTTGGCTAGAGACACAGGTTCTTCACCTTGATATATGCTCACGGCATACAGGAAATAAAAAATCACTCCCATTTAAATTTCATTTTTAACTAGACTATAAGAAGAAGAGTAAGATGATCACCTTATAATTTTTATCCTATATATTTTACAATTCTAAAAGTTATATAAGTAAACATCATATGTGAATATATAGTTTTCAGTGTTACAGACAGTCCCCAACTTATGTTTTGACTTTATGGTAGTGCAAAAGCGACATGCATTCAGTAGAAACTGTAACTTTGAGTACCCACACAACCATTCTGTTTTTCACTTTTTGTACAGTATTCATTAAATTACATGAGATATTATTATGAAATAGGCTTTGTGCTAGATGACTTTGTCCAACTGTAGCCTAATGTAAGTGTTCTGAGCATGTTTAAGGAAGGCTAGGTTAAGCTATGATGTTTGCTAAGTTAGGTTGTAAATGCATTTTTGAGTTAGAATATTTCTGACTTATGATGGGTTTACTCACTGTAACCTCATGGTAAGTCGAGGAGCATCTGTACTTGTGAAATTGTTCAGAGTTATTAACACCTTCACACACACTCACTAGTCTTTCTAAAAAGATATTAATGAAGTATGACCAGTAAGTCTAATTATATCCTTTTAGAATGTGTGATGAAAAGACGAGGTGAATAATATTCTAGCCCCTATCGTTAAAAGCTGTCGCAGCTAACTGCATATATTCTTCTACTGTGTGTAGCTTGTATTAGAAAATAATTGATTTGGCAGGGCGCGGTGATTCATGCCTGTAATCCCAACACTTTGGGAGGCTGAGGTGGGTGGATCACTGAGGTCAGGAGTTCGAGACCAGCCTGACCAACATCGTGAAACCCCCATCTCTACTGAAAATACAAAATTAGCTGGGTGTGATGGTGCACGCCTGTAATCCCAGTTACTCAGGAGGCTGCGGCAGGATAATCGCTTGAACACAGGAGGTGGAGGTTGCGGTGATCCAAGCTCGTGCCATTGCACTCCAGCCTGGGCAACAAGAGCGAAATTCCGTCTTAAAATAAATAAATAAATAAATAAATAAATAAATAAAAAAAAAGAAAATAATTGATTTGACAACAATGTTAGTAAAATTTATAGGAATAAAAACATAGTACATATACTAAATTTTTCCAGTATTACTAGTGTGGTTTTCTTATTAAAGTTGTCCTAAATGATATAAATGAAAGTATTTGAATTAAGCGCATATATTTATGAAAATATCTTTAAAATCTGAAAATAATAATTGAGGTCATTAGCTTAAGTCTTAAAGCTCAGACAAGTCATTTAGCCTCTCTGAGCCTTGATATTAACATCTGTGCCTTCTGTTAGTGTACATTCAAACACTACCAGTTAATGTATAATTAAAAAACTCCCACTTTCTTTCATATGCATTTTAATTTCAAAATAAATTAGTTTTTAGTTGTCATGCTAAAAAAACAAAGCCCAGCTTTTTAAAAATCATAATTCACAGACTACAAAGTGTATAAAGTAGTTAAAATATCCCATCATCTCACCACCCACTGGTAACTTTGGACATTTCTCCTTTCACAGATATTTTTCCTGTCTCAACACGAACACATTCACATACACATATCCGCCCACACATTCTCATTCACACACTTTTGGCCAATCTGTATTAATACAATACTCAGAAAATATCTGCTTAATGAATAGGGCTACTCACCCACTAGGGATAAAAAAATCACGGTTCAAATAATTGAAACAAAACTTTGTTGTTTTAGAGGTTCAAGATGAGAAAATATTGTACTTATATCTTATCATTTTCTTACAAGAAACTGTAGGTATCTTTTTAAATATGCTATCAACATAAATAAATATGTACATTCACAGTTATTTTCAAACCAAAATCATATGGCATATGCATAGTTTTATGATCTGCTTTCTATTTAACTGTTTCATAGCCATGTATCATGCCAATAAAAATAGAGCTTCATGATTTTTAATGGATTAATTGTACTGAAATATAGAAAAGTACTGTAAATTAATATAAATAATCTTCCTATTGAACATTTTCGTTGTTTTTATATATAATATTGATGCACAGATTCCTATGTTCTGCAGATGAGTATTTTTAAGGCACTTTAGAAAAACACATGTAAATTTCATTATATTTCATTAATTCTTTTAAGGATTCTAAGTTGTCTATTTTCAAAAGTTATCCTACAACATACTTCAAGATGCAAAGTGTACAGTGGAAAACACTTGGGATTTGGAGTTAGACTTGCTGAAGTTGAAATTCTCACTCCACCACTAACTAATTTGGGTAAATTCCTTACCCTCTCCAAGTTTTCTTTGTATAATTATCCCCTGCTTTTCAAAGTTTTATGAGAATGAAGATACAAATATATGTAAAGATTTAGAATGCCAAGCACATAGCAGAAGTTCAGGAAATGTTCTTATTGTTGCCATTTTTGTTGTACATATATGTATCCCAAAGGGACCATATATTTGTTTCTCTGCATGCATCTCTATTTGCTTGAACCTACAATTAATTAAATCATAGCACTGCATTCCAAACCAGAATATTTAACATCATCAGTATACCTTATCATGAAGGTCATTTATCTCTTCAGTACATCCTGGGTAGAAAGCACAGAGTTTTATTAAATGTAGTTCATTATCAGGAATCATCAGGAGAAGATCGGCTGCCAAATTCCTGTTAACGTAACAAAAGGGGACACTTCATTGAGGAAAAGATTTAAAAATAACATTCATAACTATCTCAAAGAAAGGAAATTCAAATAATATACCACTCTTGCTTTTCAATTTACGCAAACATTATTAATTACCTAGGTAATTATGAAACTACTCTAAATGCAGATTACTCAAACCAAAGGTCATGAACAGCAAACATATTTATAAATTCCTAAATATTAAAAAGTAAACTTTACATACATGAGTCTTAACACACTTAGAATTAATTTTATTATTACAGAATATTCTCTAATCAGTTAAGTAGTTTTGACTATGTTCTTTGGAGTGAATTATAAAGCAAACATTGTGAAAGTTAACTCTCGTCAACTTTTATTATGCTTGTCAATATTGACAAATTGTATTAGCCAGTTCAGTGAAACCTGAGTTATTTTAAGTTCATAATTTTGGGTATCCCACATATTTCTTAAATCATAAGTGAAAATTAAAGATGGAAATGTAGTTTTCTTACTTTTTTTTTTTTTTCTTTTGAGGCATAGTCTCATTTCCTCTGTCTCCCAGGCTGGAGTGCAGTGGCACAATCTCAAGTCACTGCAACCTCTGCCTCTTGGGTTCAAGCAATTCTTGTGCCTCAGCCTCCCGAGTAGCTGGGATTACAGCCATGCGCCACCATGCCCGGGAAATTTTTGTATTTTTAGTAGAGATGGGGTTTCACCATGTTGACCAGGCTGATCTCAGACTCCTGGCTTCAAATGATCCACCCACCTTGGCCTCCCAAAGTGTTGGGATTACAGGCATGAGCCGCCGAGACCAGCCCATTTACTTTTTAAACATTCAATCAGTGAAGTAAAGCAATAGAGGGTTTTAAAAATATAAAATGGTATGTACTTAAAAGATTTATATCAAAATATTTTCTGTAAAACCCTCTTCAGATCACTAGGTGAGGAGTTAATGAATGCATGCATCATAACTGAGAAAACACCTAACTTTCAATAATTCAAGATACTGTTTTTAAGAAATTGATATATAGCCACACAGAATAGGTGACCTTAGATTAGGTGATATTTCACGTAAGAATTTACAAAGCTGTGTGCTGAGGCCTCTGAGAGTAAAACCCCACTTAATCTTCTTTGTGAAGACATCAGTAAAATCTACATTAGTCATTTAAGTAAATCGATTCCTTTTTAAAACTTAAGAGGTGCTTAATTAAGAATATAATGAATATAGAATAGGAATAGAGATAATTGGCAAGTTCTGGTATGAAATCCAAAATTTTACTAAAAATAAAAAATACACACATATCACAAACTATCAGGATAGTAATATTTTAAATTAGGCTTACTTTAATGTTTTAAGAATAAGAAAAACTTTAATGAAGTTTTTTTACATGAAATATTTTGATAACTCATCATTTTACTAATAAATAATTTTCTAGATAATATCAAAAGAGAATTGCTAAAAGATCACAATAATTTTTCATATTATTTTCCCCTAGTCATTTAAAAATTATACATAATATCTTTCCAAACTGCCACATTTTCTATTACATTGGGCAGGTTCCATGTTATAGTTTAGTTGTTCTTGCTAAAATGTATGAATGATGTCATGTGTTTCCTCCTATCAAAATTTAATAGCAGTTTTAAATAATGTCCATGAAAATATAGAAATTATTTGTTTTTACTGTGTATAAAATAGCTGTGCTAAAATTCTATTCAAACTTCAATGAACTACAAAATTTGACTTTCTTAATGTAGAATTATATCTTCATATGGTGAAATTTTAGCAAGGCCAGCTAATTTCCTTCAATGTTTAATCAAATTCACCCTTTTTTGAGAATTCAGTACACAAATGGGGAAAAATGTACATATAAAAATGATTTAGACCAATTGAATGATCTAAAATATAAAATTTCACTATCAGAACAGGTATTTCATTCTGCTTAGCTGAGTTAGCTATTATTTGGTATTGCAGGAAGTCACATTTCATTTATTGTACAACTTTTAAGTTGTACATGAGTGTACAATCATGAGTGATTACAGGAACTTTTCTCAGTATTTTGTAGTCAGGTTTTATGTGCTGTAAATTATACATGTGAATTGGTATACTATAAAACAATGTGAAAATCGTTGATAAATATTTCTTAATACAGATATACCATTCAAATAATACAATAAAGGAGTGTATACATTTTAAATGAACACGTTCTTAAATAAAAGTAGATAATACCTGTATCCAACAGATGGAAAGCTAAAAGAAAATATTAAATATGAATACCATGATTATATGATGAGTATCAGGAAGAAAAGACTTTTGCAGTAAATGTAAAACACATGAGGTGTTTATAGCTTAAAAATTATGCACATCTTTATAAATGATGTAGCTATGTTTTTTAAAATCTGTGCAGCTCTACTACTGGCCAGGAGGACCACAGATTTCTCCTGAAAATAAAGCTAATCAGCACCACATTTAAACTGTTTCCTAGTTTCTGTTACATCTATCTATGGATATATTAAAAAGAACTGTTGGGGTGGGGGCGTTACAAGGAATAAGTTTGTTTTTTCGTAAAAGTAACTAAGACATATAGTTAATTGAAAAATGTTTAGTCATAGTATGTAACATACAATGTTACGAGTTTGAACTGCTCAGTATGAAGACGATGTAGATGAAGACCTTTACAATGACCCACTTCCACTTAACGCATAGGAAATTGATTTCTCTTCCTTATGATTTTCTTAACAACATTTTCTATTCTCCAGTTTATTGTAAGAATACAGTATATAATACACAAAGGATACAAAATATGTGTTAATTGTTAATGTTATCAGTACGGCTTCCAGTCAACAGTAGGCTATTAGTAGTTAAGTTTTGAGGGAGTTGGAAGTTATAGATGGATTTTGGACTGCTTGGGGGGTTCGCACCCCTAACGCTCATATTGTTCAAGGGTCAACTGTATACGTATTTCTCTTTTGCTGCCAATTTTTTTTCTTTTTTTTTCTTGAGACGAAGTTTCGCTCTTGTTGCCCAGGCTGGAGTGCAGTGGCGTGATCTTGGCTGACTGCACCCTCCATCGCCTGAGTTCAAGTGATTCTTCTGCCTCAGCCTCCCAAGTAGATGGTATTACAGGCGCCTGCCACCATGCCTGGCTAATTTTTTTTTTTTGTATTTTTTTTGTATTTTTAGTAGAGATGGGGTTTCACCATCATGGCTAGGCTGGTCTTAAACTCTTGACCTCAGGTGATCCACTCACCTTGGCCTCCCAAAGTGCTGGGATTACAGGTGTGAGCCACTGGGCTCAGCCCTTTTACTGTTTTTTACCTTCACTTTTTAAAAACAAATCCCCTTTCATCTGATGATGACTTTTAGCATGCAATCAGCCATCTTCGTGAATCAATAATTTGAATTAGGCTTCATGCTTTGAGATGAGGGCAAGTCCCTATGTAATTGACTATTACAGCTCTTGATAGAGGGATAACTAGATACTCTCAGAGGAGACTCACCATTATGTACACTGAAGTCTAAAACTGATGGTAGGGTACTACTACATTTGAGTGGGGGAAGGGAGCTCTTGCGTTACTGTAAGATATATGTAAAAATCAAAACAACTTTGAAATTCCTGATTCACTCTAAAACCTTCAGATTCAGACAAAAAAGAAGAATGTAAGTGTTCTTTTTCCTGAGTTGGCTGCAGATAAGAAAGTGGTACAGGTTGGATATCCCTCATCTAAAACGCTTGGGACCAAAGGTGTTTCAGATTTCAGACTTTTTTGGATTTTAGAATATCTGCATATACATAATAAGATATCTAAAGGGTGGGACCCAAGTCTAAATACAAAATGTATTTATGTTTCATATACACCTTATACACACAGCCTGAAGGTAATTTTATACAATATTTTTAACAATTTGTGTGTTAAACAAATTTTTGTGTTAAGTACTTACGTGTGGAATTTTCCACTTGTGGTTGTCATGTCAACACCTGAAAGGTTTTGGATTTTGGACCATTTTGGAGTTTGGATTTTTGGATTAGGGATGCTCATCCTGAGTAGTCTGATAGCTAATAATGCAAACTTCAGAGCTGATTTATGTAGCTTTGAATCTTGGCTCTATCACTTACTGCGACCTCAGGAAAATCAAAACCTACCACATAGAACCTAGTGAATTTTTACATATAAAGTACTTAAAATTGTGCTTGGCACAGAGTAAGCAGTATAGAAGTGTTAGTTAGCATTCATTATTATCATTACCACCTGCAATGTTCAGTAGTTATAGTCATCTGTATAGCTCCACCTCAAGGGTGCTGTGTGTGTGCATGGGATTTGTAATGGGGAAAAGGTCACAGTCCTGATAAATTCATTTAGAAACTTCTTGAGGTCCTAAGTATTTGAGGGAAAGAAAAGATAAAAATCTAAAATAATCTTTATTCCATAAACATCTACAGAATGACGGAATCACATATTTCCTAATAGAGCCTCTGTAACAATGGATTGTTTGACGTAAGGCCAGGGCTCCGCAGATACGAGCTGGAATTGCTCTGCCCTGGATTTCCGGGCTACGCCAGGTAATTCCCAGGGTCTCTTTCTTTGGGTATTGCCAGAGTCTGAGGGAGGTGTCCTGTTTCAAGTGTCCAGCAAAACCATTTTTCTTGCTGCTTTATATTAGAAAAGTGACTTTACTGTCCAACTTTAAAATAGGACACAAGATCTGACAAGAAAAAGTATAGACATGCAGAATTTTAAGATGTGGGAATATGTGTTCTGATCATCTTAAGAAGAGCACTTTTGTTGTCTCATGATACTTTAAGTGCTTGAAACATTATGGAATTACAACTGGGCTACTTGAGAATGGATCATGGCAGATTTCATTATACAACCATGGTAGTTCTCATCATTATGACATTGTTATATCATTGTTTCCTTCCATAATCTTATCCTTTATAAACAAGGTGATCCTATATCCTCCCAATGCATATCTTATCAAATGGAATTTATAATGTTTTAAAAATGTATTCCATCACTATGAAATTATTCTTTGAATTTCAAAATTCTTACCATATTGAAATCATCATGCACTTTCTTGCCAGTAATTCTAGGGCATAGTGGGTTGCTGGTGCTGCAGACTCTCCGAGTACTGTGCCCACACAGACTGCCAGCTCCAGTTCATTTCCGCGGATCAGGTATGCCATAGCAAGCTTGCTCAATAAGAAAATAATTTCTTCAGTTGCATAGATGCTGGGTAGGTTCATCACTCCCCTCCAAGCTCATAAAGCAGATAAAGCAGTATTAACCTATAAATCAATTGTTCTTAGAAAATATTGACTGTAATAGCCCTATAAAGTAGTTATGTAAGAGTAATTGCAATTTTCAGATGGAAAGGTTATTAATGAGACATACAGAAAATGGTATCAGGTCAGAATTAAGGAGTTTAGAACCCTTAGTTCTATTTTTGTACTTAATTAATAACACTCTATGATATTCTCAATATGTCCTTCAATCTCCATATCAGAAAAAAATGTAAATTTTTTTTTCTTTTTTATTATACTTCAAGTTCTAGGGTACATGTGCACAACGTGCAGGTTTGTCACATATGTATACTTGTGCCATGTTGGTGTGCTGCACCCATCAACTCGTCAGCACCCATCAACTCGTCATTTAAATCAGGTATAACTCTCAATGCCATCCCTCCCCCCTCCCCCCTCACCATAATAGGTCCCAGTGTGTGATGTTCCCCTTCCAGAGTCCAAGTGATCTCATTGTTCAATTCCCACCTATGAGTGAGAACATGTGGTGTTTGGTTTTCTGTTCTTGCCATA